GGACTCCCGTTGGAGTGATACATGGTTCAAGCATGAAGATGTTCTCAAGTAGATTAGTACCAACCAATCGATCGGATCCTATTGGATTAGTCCCAGGAGAGAAGTCTGACCTATGAAGCTTGTGTCTGTCTTTGTTCTTCTGCAGGTGCTCACATCATTTTCTGGTACGCTGGTAATCGTCATTATGCATCTTGAACTTGATAGAAGACAAAGAAACACACAACACTATTTTCTCGACTCGAATATTTGGTCTATCTCAGTCTTGGCACTTAGTGAATGCTTGAAGACTGACGAAGTTGCACGAATCCAAACCGTCTCCCTTGATAGCCGCTCGGCTAGAATCGGCATCATATCCCCTACTTCGAAAAAGAAGAAGGCGGTAAGTGCCATAGATCTCTCCGCCTACTACAAACGGCCTAAATATTGCCCGTTTCTAGAGACGCGCGATCCCGGAAGTAGGCTAGCGCGGTTCAGTCATTGCTCCTGCAGGTCATCGACAGGGAAGGCGATGAAGTAGTTTTTGTTGCTGTTATGAAGAAAGCATCTAGGTAGGGATGTTGATAAAGATAGATCTTTTCAGAAGCATCCTGTAACCATATTGAGAGACCCATCAAGAGGACATTACGGCTAGATCATCGCAATAAATTTCACTGTATGCTTCGGATATCGATGGCGAAGTCCCAGAGAATGGCTCCGCTCGGCAAGAAAACTTTTTGCTTTCGCCCCTCCCAGTTTTTCTCAATCGGAGAAAACATGGAGTAGATAGTTCATCGTTTATATAAGTAACAATCATCTGGATTCAGTCTAGGCAGGTTGTCTCTTCTGTAAACTGGTATCGTTTGTTTGTATTCCCAGGCTCCGCTATCGCAGGCGGATTTAACTTGGTTCCTGCTTGTTGTTATAGTTTGGCACCATCGCCGGATCTGATAGTGACTCACAAGTCCCGACTGAAAGTCAATTAACCTCGAACCCCCTTCTCCCCTCGCTCAAGTTTTGCAGCCGTTGTCATAACTGGGTTCTGCAATAATACAATTTCAAACGTGTCAGCAATCACCACATCAAGCCAATCATGGGTTCCATTGCACAGACAGTACGAGAGCTTGATGCCTCGACCGTCAAGATAACTCGATCCACCAACCTGCGTATAGTTCCTGAACCCGGTTCCCCGGAGGAACTCAGTCACTCGCACTGTACAGACCATATGGTCACCGTCAGATGGACTGTGAACAATGGATGGGAGACCCCTGAAATCAGACCATACGAGAATCTCAGCATTCCTCCGACCGCTGGCTGCCTACACTATGCTACTGAATGCTTTGAGGGCATGAAGGTGTACCGAGGATATGATGGCAAATTGCGTCTGTTCCGGCCGGACTGCAACGGCGAGAGACTTGTCATGAGTGCCCAGAGAGCTTCTTTGCCCAGTTTCCGGTTTGAGGAGCTCAAGGTGCTTATCGCCAAGTTGATGCAGATCGATGGACCCCGTATGCATCCCTGCTTCAAAAGAATACTTGACATGGACTAACACAAGGCTTTTTACTCCAATAGGCTGGCTCCCCAAGGACCAACCCGGTCGATTCCTTTATCTTCGTCCCACTTTGATCGGCAGCGGCCCTCATCTGGGCGTGCAAACACCCAAAGAAGCGCTTCTCTTCATTATTGCCGTGCCATGGCCTGACCCCTCCAAGAAGCCCGTCGAGCCTGGCACGAAGCCCGGTCTGAAGCTTCTCGCCTCCCACCCTGACACAATCCGTGCCTGGCCTGGTGGCTTCGGTTACGCGAAGCTCGGGGCTAACTATGGCCCTTCCCTGTCAGCTCACGGTCAAGCCCAAGCCTTGGGCTTTGACCAAGTCCTCTGGCTCTTCGGGGAGGACCGTCAAGTGACCGAGGCCGGTGCCAGCAATTTCTTCATTGTCTGGCAGAACAAGGACACTGGCAAACTTGAGCTCGTTACCGCGCCCCTTGAGAACCAGCTTATCCTCGCCGGTGTCACCCGTCGCAGCGTGCTGGAGCTGGCGCGGTCGAGGTTGGCGAAGCCTGTCGGCAGCCTTGCACCTGTTGACGTTGTGGAAAAGGCGCTTACCATCGGAGATGTTGAGCAAGCCTGGAAGGAGGGACGCATTGTTGAAGCATTCGTTTCCGGCACTGCTGTAAGTCACCCTTCGCTCAACAACTCTCAAGCATCCTTCGCTAATGCAAAACAGTACTTTATCACTCCTGTGAAGCTCGTCAGGAATGGCGATCTCGACATGGACATGGTTGATGCGGGCGTTGAGCGTGCAGGATACGCTGCCCAGATCAGATCTTGGTTGGACGCCATCATGTATGGCAAGGAGAACCATGAATGGTCTTATGTCATTGAGGGAGAGGTAGAAAATTAAGGTGGATGCATCCTTTCTTTTTCCAAATAGACATAGACTCAAAAGTGGCAATGTGTTGCATGCGGAATGATGGTTAGAACGGACTTTTCATGCAGAGCGTGCCAATTTTCTATAGTTATGTACCGAGCTTTAGATCTTGGAATTGTGTTCCCGATTCAAATCTTTTTGTTGGCATGGAGCTTGATCCTGACGACCGTTAAAATGCCTTGTTTTGACTCGCTCTGAATGAGGTAAGAGCATGGTAGCTTGCCCAGAGAGTAACGGATCAATCTGTTCCCTTGTCACATAACTGCTGGTGGTATAGACGTCTTTCCAGTTATCATAATAGTCGCCTACTTGAGATGCCCAGGTGACTGGTGCACAGGGTCAAAGGGGATTCGCGATGGCGTGTATAGAGTCGACTGAATTACATACCAGAGGGCGTCCTTAAGTAGAGGATACGGCTATGGCGTATCCACATTGTCCATGTCCAGATCCTGCGTCGTGTTCCCTCCCTCGAGATCGACAACGAGGGGAGCATACTCCCCTGTCTCATCGTCTCCATCATCTTCCATTTCTAACTCAACTTGCTCACCGTCCTCCAGCTGGACCATACCCCGTCGAACAAAGGCTTCACGATCCAATTCCCAGTCGTATTCGTCTTTGACCCATGTAGCCAGCTTGTCGAATTCAGCCTTCAGCGTGGGACCGGGGTTGTCGATGACTTCATATAGGGTTCGCCTGAACTTCATCAGGAGTTTGCGCAGAAATTCCCCGCCATCAGCTCCGTCAATATCGAACAGTCCACCTTCGACATCATCACACCGTTTGAGCTGTAGCAGAAGCAATCGGAGTACGCTCACCATGAAAGGCTCACGATCCTTGATTGCATTCTGGCAGGTCAAGACTAGTTCCAGCAACCTTCTCCATTGCTGCAGACATGAGTAGTTCATCAATGTCATGACCATCAAGAAAGTGAATTGAAGTTCTCCCAGGACCTGTGCCTCTCCCGTCTTTTCTTCACGGTCTCCACCACTGGAGTGTCGCTGAATCAGGTCCCCCAATGCCCATGAACGATCTTGTGCCGCTTCGGTCCTCTCCCGTCCAATAGCTCCTTCTCTCCATGTGCGCTTCAGATCAACAGGAAGAAACGAGAATGCAGTTTCCTGCTCCCCGGTAACCTTAGCCAAATCCTGTGTGTTGAGATCCGGAAGCCCTGGAATATTATCACTATCCCTTTCTGCAGTGCTACCAGATGTCACCATCCACCGAGACCGGCCATCGACGTCTAGTTCAGGGTCGCCAACAATCCGCGACAGAAGCCTTGGGGAAATATTGTTCGTCAGGTCTGCCCAATCTTTTCTGCCCTCTTCCTCGTCATCTTCATCAATGTCTTCCTGAACAGGACCCTGTTGCTCCTTTTGCTCCTGCGACTGGGACTGCGATGTCCGCGATGACGAGACACGACTGCGGTACCGGAACAGCCCACCACGCTGCCAAACAGCACCTAAATTCGCTTTATGTCGCATCGCCTCCTGCCTGTCGGCATCGCTGCTTGCTCGCAAAGGCTCCAGTGTTTCTGTCTCCGAATTCCATTTCCACACGAAAATATCCGACCCCAAACTTCTGGATGACGCCGGTACTATGGCCCCATTGCGACTCTCGTCAAAGACGCTGATATCGCCAACGTAGAACCACCCCCCTGATCTTAGAGAAAGACTTTCTGTTGTTCCAGTATATAAAAAGTGCCAACCATTCGGTAGGTCTCGTATGCCGTGAAAGTTGGCGGTCGATGTGAAGGTGACGAGATCAATGCCGACGAGGGTCTTTGGCGGAAGGTGGGGGACGAGGATGGTGGGGGAGGGCGAGAGAGGAAGAGGCATGGCTGTGGACGTGGATGCAGTGCTATTTTGTGAAACAACCTTCAGCGAGTGCTTGGAGAGGCAGTAAAAGCGATGTCTGTTCTACTCCAAAAATCGTGATCCGGGATACACTCTGATCCTTTGACGTCAGTTCATGCTATCAACCGTCCTTCAGTGGAGTTGTCCGTGACAATGTCAAAGAGGCGCGCGATGGCAGAGTTATAAGGATCTGAAGACTGGAATACTTTGGAGGGAGAATGATTGTGCTTGATGTGCTGGTCGAAAAGATCAAAGGAAGAATATGGTGGCTAAAGCTCCCAAAGCTCTTATCGAATTTGAACTTCCGCGCGCACTAGGAATCACCGCAAAAGTGCCGCATCACCATTCAGCTCTCAGATCGGTTTAAGACTGATCTGCAAACTGATTTTGAATTCACTCTTTACTCTAAACTAATATCTGCAATGATACCGTAGACTGCTAGGATTTATATGGCAACCTACATCAACCTTCTACAATGATCCCACTACACCACGAAGCCTGAGTATGCTCCAATTCTGGTTATATTGGCAGAGATAGCTGTCATACTCGCTGACAGACTATGAGACCCCGAACCGAAGACAAAATCTTTTGGACATGAGAAAAATTGAAGACCAGGCGATAAGGGCCGTTCTTCGCGTTTATTCCATCCACATCCGCGGGCACGAGGCCCAGGCGGTAGCCTCCAGCCCAGCCATGCAAAGGAATTGCACATCCTGGACAAAGACACACCCGCACATGTCTACAGACGACGACCACGGCGACCACCCTTGCGACGAGTAGAGTCGGAAGGAGTGGGGGTCACGTCCTCGATTCTGCCAATTCTCATGCCGGAACGAGCAAGGGCACGGAGAGCGGACTGAGCACCGGGACCGGGGGTCTTGGTACCGTTACCTGTGGCATAATTAGCTTTTTTGTCCCCATCACACTGTCACCTAACGTTTCGCTACATACCACCAGTGGCACGGATCTTGATGTGGAGAGCGTTGATGCCGAGCTCCTTGCAGCGGGCAGCAACGTCCTGAGCAGCCAACATGGCAGCGTAGGGAGAAGACTCGTCACGGTCAGCCTTGACCTTCATACCACCGGTGACACGGCAGATGGTTTCGCGACCACTGGTATTTGAGAATCATGTTAGTCCCTTGTCTAAGAGGTGACCCCATTGCGCATTGCTCTTCCGAGTGTATCAATCGCACGAGGGAAAAGTTGAGAAGGTCAAAAACGAACCTCAGATCGGTAACGTGGACGAAGGTATCGTTGAAAGAGGCGAAGATACGGGCAACGCCGAAAACGAGCTTGCCTGTACATGACTGTTAGACTCAAGCATGCGCAAAATTCGCGTTACCTCAAAAACATACCATCTCCGGCCAGAGGACCGAGAGAGACGTTCTCCTTGGCGGCAGTGGTGGTCTTCTTGGGAGGCATTTTGGGTGTGCTGGTCGTGGGATGGAATATGGAGCAAGAGAAGAAGAGAAAATCAAGACACTGATAGAGTTGGATATAGAGAAAGTGGAGATTGTGTGTGCCCTACGAACGCTGCCCCGCGCTGATTGGCCAGAAGTTTATCCGCGGCGGTCAAGCGAGTTGCAGCCTGAGCCAGAAGGCAGAAACACTGGGTCCAATATGCTGGTGAGACGGCAGCAGTCGGGCCGGTGGGCGGTGAGCCAGGAGCTTTTAAGCTGTGAGTCAAATTTTCCACCGCACTGTTAGACTCTCATCTTCTGGCAGTGCAGATCTTTCTCGGATCACACTTTTCTTCGAATAAAACAGCATAGCCTGATGCTTCTAGAGATATCTGTGTTCTCTTCCGTCTACTGACTTGACTGCACTTTCGCTCATCCTTAAGCCTGGTGCGGCTAAATAGGAATCAATATGGTCCTCACCAAAGAAAATGCCATGATTGGCATCATTGGTTTGGGAGACATGGGCAAGATGTATGCCCAGCGGCTCAGTCTCGCAGGGTGGAGGTAAATCATCACTTTTCCCTATTGGCCACCATCATTCGCTTGTAATAGGTAAGGCATTTTCTCTTTCCTTTTTCCTTTCTCTTCCTTTTACATGATGACTTGAGTGCATTTGGCTCGAGCATGACCTGACAGTTGCACCGCTACGCCATTCTGGTCTGTGGTTGACTGTCAGGTTGTCAATGATGTAAAATCTCAGCTACCTTTATTTCTTTTTGTCTGAAACCTTCATGAAGGATTCCCTGGTTCTTAAAGCTCTGATATTGCCGTCCTCAAAACTGAGTGCTAACTCGCAAGTTTCTCAGGTTCAATCGTACTCGTACTAAGTCTGTCCAAGTGGCTGAAATTCACTAACCACTATCTGTTTATAAAGGGTAAATGCATGTGATCTGCCTCAGAATTATGAACGCCTAAAGGAGGAGTTTGCTTCTCAAGTACGTCGTTTGCTCACAGCTAATGCTGTCCATACTCATCGTATATATAGCAAGGTGTCACTATACTCCCGAATGGACACCTGGTTTCAAGAATTAGCGATTATATTATATACAGTGTAGAGGCTGCTGTCATCGACAGGGTAGTTGCACAGTATGGGCCATGTATGTCCTTGTTCGAGCAAAGGATACTACCACCACCCTTAGTATCAATTTTTCTGACTTGTGGAAAGCAACCAAGGTCGGTGCGATTGTCGGCGGCCAGACATCCTGCAAGGCGCCTGAATTAGCTGCCTTCGAGAAACATCTTCCTCCAGATGTAGAAATCCTATCTTGTCATTCGCTCCATGGGCCCCAGGTCAACCCGAAAGGACAACCTCTGGTATGACAGCATGTCTTACTGCGAGTCTTTCCCGCATAATAACACGGTTTGCTTTAGGTCTTGATTCAGCATCGTGCTTCAGACGAGAGTTTGCGGTTCGTGGAAGAAGTACTCTCATCGTTCGGTTCCAAATATGTTTACCTCACAGGCGAGATGCATGACCGGATCACTGCAGATACCCAAGCGGTTACACATGCGGCCTTTTTAAGCATGGGAACGGCTTGGCAAGCAAACAATCAGTTCCCCTGGGAGATGTCGCGCTGGGTTGGCGGAATCGAAAACGTCAAGATCAACATCACATTGCGCATCTACTCTAACAAATGGCATGTCTATGCTGGCCTCGCCATCCTCAACCCGGCTGCAAAAGAACAGATCCGCACCTATGCCCAGTCCGTAACGGAGCTGTATAAACTGATGATCGGTGGACAGCGAGAGGAGCTGAAACGTCGAGTCAAGGCGGCCGGGGCGGCTGTCTTCAAGGACGGTACTGAGAGTCAGGAATTGCTCCTCAAGGATGAAGTCCTCGATCGCTTCTCCCTCTCGAACCGGCCTCGCGAGTATCACACGCCGAACAACCACCTGAGTCTCCTTGCAATTGTCGACTGTTGGTCGAAATTGGGCATTGTCCCTTATGATCATATGATCTGCTCAACGCCTGTTAGTGACGCTAATACCCTGTATTGCTTACACCGTTCCATGTCGAGTTGCTAATTGCTCTTTGAAGCTCTTCCGTTTGTGGTTGGGGGTCACTGAGTATCTATTCCGCAACCCTAAGCTCCTCGATGAGGCATTAGATACCGCAATTGACGACAAAACCTTTCGCTCAGACGATCTGGAGTTCACATTCGCTGCCAGGGTTAGTGCTCATTCTCGCCCGATGGTTCTATCGGCAGTGATGTCGTGGGCCAGGGGTGTCTTCATAATGCCCGGGATACTGACGTATTGTGTACGATTAATAGGCTTGGTCGGATTGCGTTTCATTTGGTGATTTCGAATCCTACCGTGATCGCTTCGAGCGAATCCAGCAGTACTTCGCGCCTCGTTTCCCTGACGCGGTCAAGCTTGGGAACGAGATGATGAAGACGATCTTGGAGAAGACAGCGACGGGGACCCGATAAGCGTGTCTGGAAGTTGATGGCAAACCATGATGATGTGATGAGCCACGAACGACAGAAGAGGGCGCATATGATACATCATGACCTTTTTCAATTACACTTGGGCAATGCTCCATAGATCTGAACATGTACGCATCTGTAAAGTCACTGCTTGGCCGGGGTCTTCCTTTGTGAAGTTATTCATGAAGCAATCTTACTACTAACTTTTGACATGGTCGAACCCTCGGCTCCACCAGTTTGGTCCGTTTCATGCCTATCCCACGGCTTTATGCACAAGGCGTATTCAATTCTCGGTCCGATAACCATCGTTTTTGAAGCGAAGTTTGAGCATAGGTGAACGCGATGCAAGCATTTAGATGGCGAGGGCTCTCTCACGGCGGTCATCTGTGCAAGGGCGTCCATGGCTTAGCTTAGCTTGTGGCATGGAAGGCATCTTGTAGACGTAGCAAAACCGGTTCGCAGGGGAAGGGGTAGGGGTAGGTAAGGGGAAAAAGTTGGATAGCTGGTAGTCAGAGCTACGGTGGGGGGCATCTTGTATACCACTCTTAGGCCTATTATCAAATAGCTTCAATAGAAGCTATTTACCGCAAAACAGTGAATAGGAGGCTGAATAGCATGCACTATTGCTTCCAGTTATACTAGCTTCCTGTGACCCTATTGATAGCTCTCTCTGAGCGTTGCATTAGCTTCGGACAGACTATTCTTCTATCTCTGAAGCTGGCAGAGAGCGCCTCGTCAGCTTCTCTTGCTTGTATATATATTCCCAACCAGAGTTGCATCGCGTCTGCAGAGTACTGATCCCAAAAGGACCTTCTTAGATCGGAAATGCATGGTCTATTTGGACACTCGAATTGAAGCCAAACAAGGCGCATAGTTATACATTAAGTCTCAAAGGGGACCAAGAAGAACGAGATCTATCGGTTGTCGTACAAGCAAAACACCAATTGAAAGAATAGCGGCCTTAGGCGATAAAGGTTGTCGCCGAAGTTAGTCAGCCAGTGGTAGCCAAGACTTGAGGTCCAACTGGAAACCATCAACAGCGGAGAGTATAGTCCCTTCTTGGAGTATTCTTTGAATCTTTGAAGCGACACTATGATGGCATTATTGTGATACCTACATCGAACCTCTGCCGATCTGGATAACTTGCAGTACGGTCTTGTTTCACACTGGAAAAGCTGCTCCCCCCGTGACCGCGGCGCACGCATCCCCTCCCTTCGAAGTCCTCATTCTCCAAACAGCACCTCATTCTGATCAGAAGTCAGTCACCGGCCTTTGTTTACAAGACACTCCTGCCAGTGTGATTCCTACAGCCTCTTGATACACCTCCTTCGAGCTCAATGCGGTGGTTCATCACTTGTCTCCTGCGCGATAGGTGATACGCACTCTCCCACTTGCGACTAGATGGAGATCTATGGCGTCCGGATATAATTCAGGTTTCTCCGCAACGTCGATCCAGCACCGTGACCTGGGTGATGGACGGTCGTATGCCAGCCAGGAAGATGCCTCCGCAAATGGCAGCTGGGCCGAGAACGCGTCAAGACCTGGGAGGAATGGTCGCTCACAGTCTGGAAACAGTGCAAGTATCCGCCCTCGGGGAGGTTCTGGAGGCTCTCTAGCACCTTCCCTCGGGGGTCCTGGTAGTTTCAGCTCGGAGCTTAAGAGCATGACTACATCGCGGAGTGTGACACCCAGACCCGATGGTACCTACAGGCGACGAGGAAGCAGCAACGTTGAGTTGGATGAATTGTCCAGCACCGAGGAGCGCCAGGCTGCGATTCGCGACAAGATCGCCAAAGAGATGAAGATCAAAACGGGAACCGAGAACATGCTGGAGGCACTTCTGGCCAAGGACCCGAAACATACCAAGGATCAACGGTTGAGGGTAGAATCCGAACTCAGCTCGTCCAATCGCAAGCTTGCGGAGCTACACCATGAGCTCGAGGAGGAATTACTACGTGCGCAGGCGCCGTCAACTCCTCCGCGGAATCGCTTTTCGATGTCTCTTTTTCGGGGTAGCCCCAGGCGGTCGCCCTCCCGGAACAACGACCTCACGCTTGACGATGATCGATTGGAAGAAGCCGAGGCGGAGATGGAGTCTCCTACTTACGTCCTCGCGGAAACATTACAGGCGCTGGAGATTGAAGGGATGGCGCCAGATTACTATGTCGAACGCGCCAACAGTCTGGTCGAACTCTTTAGGCGTCATCCAACCCTAAAATACGACCTTGCATGGTCCGTCTTCGGCTTGCGCGTTCAAGTCATGCTCTTAAGTGACAGCAAAGAAGTCGTAGCGGCTGGCTACCGTTTGACTCGATACGCCATAGCTGATAGAAAGTCACTTCAAATCATCCGGTCCCTGCACACAGATGAGCTGGTGATACTATCCCTAGTCAAGGAGAGCAAAGCTAGCATTGAGCGCGAACAGGCACTAAAGTTTGTCCGAGCTTTTCTGGATGTGAAAGACGGCGTTCACGAAATCTCGCGAGCTGTTGTGCGAACGATCGTCTCCATTGCTGAACATCATGAGGACCGTCTTCGAAACATATCTATTATGACCCTCGCTGAAATCTTGGTCAAGGATCCGGAGCTGATCGCCTATGCTGGAGGATTTGCAACTTTGCACGATGCTTTGGCAGAGGGAACTTTTGGCGCATCGGAAAGTCTGATTGCAAGCTTTCTGCATGTTCTCGATACGCCACACAGCAGAAAACACCTGCAAGGAGGATGCGAGCTCGAGGCCGTACTCGCACCATTTACTGACTCCCTTTCGGACTCAGTTCATAACGGACGATTGAAATCGTCTGCCAAAGCCATTTCCGCAATGCTTAAAACATGGCCGGGCTTGATAATTCTTGCAAGACATGAAGCCAAACCCCTTCAATCCCTCCTAGAATCGCTGCACTACCCAGATACACAGGCAAGAGATCTGATCATGGAACTACTCTTTGATGCCCTCCGAATCAAACCACCTTCGTGGTCATCTTCCTTTCTCGCAGGCCGCCGACTCACCACGTACGGCAGAGTTGCTAACCTCAGATCTGAGTCTGACGCAAAACCTGTCCGCGCATTTTACGACAGCAATGATGATAGGTTTGATTTAACGGCGCACTTTTCGACATTGATTCTCGCGACGCTGATTGATGCCGGACTTGCAGAGGTGTGCTTCTCATGAATCTTTCTCCTTCCGTACATACTCTAACCAGGAATAGTCTCTTTCAGATCTCATCGAGGAAGAAACAGATCAGTCACTCAGGCGGAAGGCTACACTGCTTCTGACAGAGGTTTTAAAGTTGGCACACCATTCCTTACCTCAACGTATCAGCGCAAAACTCCAGGTTCTTCCACATTTACTCCCACCAGCCGTCAAATTTGACGTTGAGAACCACGACGTGTGCAGCTCAACCATATATCAAATAGAGGGCATAAACCGAACTTTAGCTCGCTCGGTAGGCTTCTCCAATGGAGCAGGGCGTTATAACGTGGATGTGGACATCTCTGCATCGCTTCTGTCTGGCGACCAAGGCAAAGATCGACTGAGTCCCGCCATGGACGAGACACAATTCCGCAATGCGATATTGGAGACAAACGTGCTGAATACTGTCAACTACATTAAATGGAAATGGGACCTGATCCATCGTATTGTCGAAGGGCCTCTAACCAACCCGAAGAGACTAGACGAGGCCATAAAGGGCTCAAAGTTTATGAAACGGCTCATAGGATTCTATCGACCTTTCAAATACAGATTCTCTATGGTTCCCAACACCAAACCGAATCAGCGGTATATCCGGACTGGATGCGCGTTGATGCGCACTCTAGTCCAAGTCCCAGAGGGAACAAAATATCTGGCGGAGAACAAATTCTTAAGGCAGGTTGCTGAATGTCTCGCACAGGTGGACCGCATGAGCGGACTGACCTCCTCCTCGCCTCTCTTTTCGCAAGAGCAGATGGCTACCACGTTGAGCGGAGGATACTTTGCCATGTTAGGAACCCTAAGCGGCGACCCCAATGGCCTTGCCATGATGGAGCGATGGCACATGCTCAACATGTTCTACCATATCATTGAACTTCGGGATCGGGACGATCTAATTCAAACTCTTTTGGGTAACCTCGACTATAGTCAAGAAAGCCATTTGAGAGTTCTGCTGTCTAAAGCTCTCACTACTGGTTCTAAAGAGATCCGCATATTCGCGACGAAGCTGCTGCGGAAGTACGCAGTCGGAAATGTGCATCTTTCCGCTCAAGGGGGACTCGGTAGAGCGGACTGGGTCGTTAAGCTTTTGGTAACCCAGCTGTACGATCCTGATGTGTCTGTGTGCCAGGTGGCCGTCAAGATTCTTGAGGAAGCGTGCAACCAGCGAGACTACCTTGAGTATGTTGTCAAATGCCGACCTTCGCTCGATCACCTCGGTGAGATTGGGGCACCTTTACTTCTACGATTTTTGTCGACATCAGTTGGCTATCATTACTTGGACGGCCTCGACTACATTACGCAAGAAATGGACGATTGGTTCTTAGGCCGGAACGACGCCTACGTGGGTCTCGTGGAAGCTGCGCTTTCTAGAGCCTACGTTGACCAACCCCGCAGGGGGAGCTTTGCGCCTGAGGATTTCGTAGATTTGCAGGACATTGGAGTTGTACCGCCGCATTTCTACAGAGAACTTGCGAGGACGAAAGAGGGATGTCGACTTCTGGAACAATCGGGCCATTTTAGTGAATTCGCTTGGACTATTCGAGATTTTCGGTTGGACGAAGAAGACACCGAGGCGCTTCTCAAAGTCAAGGGCTGTCTCTGGGCCGTTGGCAACGTTGGCTCCATGGAATTGGGAGCACCGTTTCTCGAGACGGACATCGTTCAGCAGATTGTGAAGATTGCTGAAAGCGCTGAAGTCTTGACGATGCGGGGCACTGCTTTCTTTGTTCTTGGCTTGATCTCTCGCAGTCGACATGGCTTGAAAGTACTCCGGGAAGCTGGATGGGACTCCGCAGTCGACCAGAAAGGGGAC